ACATTTTTCTGTGCTCCTTATATTGGTGGAAAGAAAACCTACTTAATCACAATGTATATTGTCGTCACCACCATCATAAACTCCTCAGTTCCATTTTCTAACATTTCATCTGTGTTGGTAATGACTGATCAGCTTCTTTTCTTGCCTTGTTAGGAAGCTAAACATAATTAACATTCACTACAGAAATCACTTAGCTCTACTTCACTTGTCAGGGGAGGAAATTGAAGCTCAGAGAAGGTAACCCTAGACTTGCATTGCTAATTAGTGGCTGTAGTACTCTATTTCTAATCTGGTGTGTTGCCTACCTTACCCTGAGGACAGATTCAGCAGTAGTCCTAGGAGATGACAAGCAGAAGGACACCGAATGGATATTTACATATAGTTAGGTTGAGAGGTTGATATGTGATTATGTGAACTGAATCCATTCGTCTCTTAGGCTGTCTTTCCTAATTTTGCCTCTGAGCCTTAGAGAAATGCTGAATTGCCAAAAGAATGAATACAATAGCTTTAAATATTGCTTGAAAATGAAGATGTTTGTAAGAACAATTGTGTTACGTTTCCTTTTCTTTTCTAAACTACGATTTAAAATCTAAAGGGGAAAGTGTAATATTCTGTTAATTCAAAAGCTTAAAAAAAACTACTACAGGTATAAATGTTTAGGATTAAGGATGCATTGGGAGCTTTTGGTTGAAGTCATGCAAACTTTAAACTTTTTAAAACCACAAAAGTCTAGAAAACATTTAGAATCTTATGTTATTGCACATTAACAGTATTTCCTTGGCCTCAGAGCTAACTTTAGTTTCATGGTTCCTTACTCAAGGTAAAATTTCAAATTTTCCAAAAGAAGCATCTTTGTTCTGTCTTCTATAAGATTATTTTTAGTAAAATCACATGCAGCAGGGAAAAGGATGATTCTGAGAACTTTTTGTAGTGAATGTACTACACATGAATCTTAGGAAATTCAAAGCAATTTAAAAATATTCTCAGAGTAATCATGTGTAAAATTCAAATGTATTGGGATTCAAAAAAACAAAATATTACTATCAAGGAGCTCATAAACAAATAGGGAATACAGACGCGTACAACCAACAGAAATGCAGTGTGGAAGGTTTTGTGATGAAAGAACACTTTGATCTGGTCCTTGAGAAATGAGAAGCACCTATCAGAGAGGGCAAGGGACAAAGCACATGGCGTCATCCTTGCAGCTGAATGTGGAGGAAAACGCAGGAGGAGAAGAGTCTGGAAAGTAAGGGTAAGTTGAGTTTTTAAGATTTTACCATGTAAGCAAGGAGAAATCATAGGATTTTTTAATAAATAAATATTATAGAAAGATAATTAATTAGTCCTTAAAGCAAAGTGAAATCGACTTTGGCATAACAGCCATGTGTGTGCAGGGTGGTTGCAGGTGTTGACATTTTTCACCCTGTAGCTCACATGTGCAAAAAGAATAACTTCTTAGTATCTCTGTAACTAAGATGACCTTAAGATTTATTGCCCAAACTGGAACACTTTTGAGAATAAAAGGTGGGTACTTCTAACAATCATGCTGTGACAGCATCCCTAAATTGGGTGTGTCCTGCACAAATTAGGAGGTAGAGGCACTTATTTATAATTAAACTAAATTTTCTTTAGTTGTTAAAAAAAAAAATGGCAAATACAATCCTCATTCGGAAATTATAATTCAGGCTCACTAAATAAAAATCTTTTTGGTTTATATCAGTCATTAACAGATGAACATTTAGATAATTTAAAAAGTCAAAGAATAAGCACTAACACATGACAAATACCACATTAGGCACTGTTGTAAGCACTTCACACATACTAAGTCATTTAATCCTCAAGTAAAAAACTGAGAGGTATGTATTAATATAAGTTCTCATTTTATAAGTGAAGAAATCAAGACACAGTGTGTTTAAAAGACATGCCCAAGTTAGCTGTTGACTTAGCAGGTATCAGAGCCACGATTCAAATCCAGATTGTCTGGCAGCAATATCTCTCCCAGTCATTACTACATTGCCTCTCAGACTCTAAGTCACTGGCTTGTTGGCTCCTAAATTGGAATTCAGATAAGCAATGAGTAATTGTTCAGTGCAAGTATATCCCATGCAATGTGTGGGGCAACCCTCCGCCCCCTTCCTACTTGCTGAATTAAATTAAATATCCTCTTTGCATGGGTTGGGTGTAGGGATGGCCCTGATTTCTCTCTTGGCCCGCATCCTTGACACGTCTGCTGTAGTGTCCTTTGTGGTTGTATAACTCACTGGCTGTTCTTTGAGCAGAGCCCTCATCTCTCAACCCAGATTCACCTTTGCTCTGTTCCTGCTTATGCTGCAGATACTCAGTCTCAGCTTTGCCCCCTCCACCTGAAAATATACGCTTCACTATTAGCATAAATATTTCAAACTTTGTGGACTGTTTTAGGGATATTTAAGAATAGCTCTATTAACTCTGAATCAAGCTAGAAAAAATCCTCAACTCAAGTGGAAAATAGTTTTGTTTGCCTGTGTGCAGTAACAGGAAAATTCTGCTATTACATTGTATCTCTCCTTACAGCTCAAAATGAACTCTATTATAGATAAGAAACTTCCTGAGGCAAAATTTGATGAGTTCTGTTAGTAACAACTAAAACAAAGAAACAAAAAATGAAGCCATCTTTGTTCTGTCATTAAGCTGTAATTTTTCCATTGATGCCCTTCATTGTCCTCCATCTAACATGTTTTCTTACCTTACCACCCCAAAAGTAGACAAGAAGTTGGGGAACACCTAAAGAATTCTGAGTTCCAATTCCAGATTTACACAGAATTTTCTGAGCCTTAGTTTCCTTTGGAATAATAATTTCTAATATTGTAATAATAATAATACCTGGCACAATGGAATATTTTTGAAATTTAAATTGAGAAGTGGTGAATAAAACATAAAATGTTATAAATGGAATTCAGGGTTAAAAACATCAAGAACCATCTTTTTATTTAGTTGATTCCTGTCTCTCGTGGCCCATTTGGTGGGTAAAATAGTCACCCCTCCCCCCACAAAATAGATATATCCACCTGGAACTTGTGAATGTGCCCTTATTTGGAGACAGGGTTTACCTCCTCAAGAATGTTGAGATGAGATCATTCTGGACTTAGGGTTGGCCTTAAATGCAATGACAGGTGTTCTTATAAGAGAAAAGCAGAGGGAGATAAGAGACACAGGGACACAGGGGAGCTGGTCATGTGAAGACAGGAGCAGCAATCAGAGTTATAGTGGCACAAGCCAAGAAACATTTGGCTCTACCAGAAAGAAGCTGGAAATGGCAAAGAAAGATTCTCTTGAGCCTTCACAGAGGCCCTCCTGACCCTTGATTTGGACTTCTGTCCCCTACAACTGTGAGAGAATAAATTTCTGTTGGTTTTAGCTGTACAGTATGGTATTTGTTTAGGCACTATTATGAAACTAACACAGTCCACATTCCAGTCCATCAGAAAATCATGACAGCTCAACCTTCGAAATAAGTGCAAGATCACACACCACCTCCTCCTGCCCCATTAGCTACTCTAAACCACCATTACCTCATTCCTGGCCCTCTTGCTTTGGTCTTTGCACCCCTTAAAGTTATACTGCAATCAGAGTGTAATTTAAAACTGAAGTGAAATCTTGTCAGTCCTCCACTCACATCTTCCACCTGCTTTTCATTTGTTAGAATATCACCTAAAGACCTCATTATGGCCCGCAAAGCTGTATGTGATCTGGCTTTGCTGTTTCTCCGAGGTGATTTCTTACCACTTTCTCAGTCCATTTCCTTACTGTTCTGCAAATGTGTCAAGCACCTTCCCTCAGAGCTTTTGAGTACTTTTCTTTCTGTCTAGGTAACCTCAGGCCTGCTTCTTTGCAGGTCTCTTCTCAAATCCTACCTCCTCAGAGAAGCCCCTCACATTCATCTTATGGGAAGTGGCCTAGCCCAGTTAGTGTATACCACATCACCCTAACAATTTTTTTCAAAGTGCTCATCACAAACAGTACCTGCTTTTCTAATTTTCCTGTTCATAGTCTTTCTCTATTATGAGAATGAAACCTCCCTAAGTATTAGGACCTTGTCTGTCTTGTTCATTGCTACATTTCTGGTACCAATGCTCAGCACACTGCAGCCACTAATAAATATTTGGTGAAGGAATGAAGAAACCAACAGACCTTTTAGCTATTAAGGGTGTTAACCAAAGAGAACAGAGATGATAACTATTTTCAGCACCACCCCAAACAACACTTTCTGGAGAGTAACCTAGGCAGCCACCTACACACATTCTCAGTGGATAGGATAAGAGTCACCACCAAAGGGAACAACCCATTGCAGTTGCAAAGTGAGATCTGAAGTCAGAGCGTAGTTAAATAGTGTTAACTTTTCCATGAGGTAGTTTAGAATGCTTAAAACTGTCAAGTTCAAGATATAAATTAATGCTAAATCTATGAATGAGTTCCTGAAGATATTTGGAAACAACAAAAAACAATTTTTCATGTGTTTAATCCTCAGCGGTTTAAAAGCGTTTTCATATGGCTTATTTTGATTCTCACCTGCCTGAGTAAGAGATGGCAGACAATATTGTTTTCATCTTACAAATGTGAATATGGCGACTATGTGACCTATGCAAGATCATGCAACTGCCCAACTGGCATTAGGGTAGTCCCAGATCCAAACAAGGACTTCTGACTTCAGATTTCTTATTTTTCTCCACTGCACGCCATTTATCGATTTATTTAATATACTATATTATTGAGCACTGACTGTTTCGGGTACTGTTTGGAGCAGAACATAATGAGGTTAAGAAAACTGATTATCTTTGTCGCTGGTTTTTCATTTTTTAAAAAAGTGTAATACATTTACTACTTGGGGAAAAAAATCGGTACAGTAGTTACTTCCTTGTACCCAGCCCACTGTCTGCCCTGATGCAACTGATGTTATCTGGAAATGTTTGAAAATACAGAGGGTAAGTCCCTGTTTCTGGAGTGAGGTCCTTCCGGGAGGTGGGGCCTGGACTAGATGACCTTGGCTGGCTCACCTGCATCCCCGAGGGCTGCCACGGCACAGGAGAAGTGAGCTGCTACTCCTGATAATAAGGGTGTCATTTTGCGTCCTGGGGTTGTGGAGGGGAAAGGAGGGTAGTTCTGCTGGGCAATGCTTCTGGCGAAAGGCAGCGTCAAGCCTGGGCAGGCAGGACATTCGGCCTTAGGTACTCAGACAGGTTTAACCCGAGGCTTGGGGGCGGGATTCCCTGCGGGATGGGGTGTGGTGAGGGGCGGAGCGGTACCCGCCGACGTGGCAGCCGCAAGGGCATGCGCGCCTGGTGGCCATCTTGGAGGCGGGGACGCGCCGCGGGAAGCTCCTGTGTGCATCTTCCCAGTCTCCTCCGAGCTGTAGTCCTGACGCCCCAACTTCCTTGTCTCCCAGTTTTCAGCTCTCACTGACACTCTTTCCGTCCCACAAGGTGAGCGTCACCCTGGGAGCAATGCGGGGGCAGCGGCGGCAGCAAGGGCATGGGATGCGGGCGCCTAAATCCGGTGCCGAGAGGTGCAGTCGCAGCAAGGTGGGCGGGCGGGCCGACCCCTTGGTCGGCGAGGGTCTTTACTGGGACTCTAGCAGTCGTTCATTCCCGGTGTGGCTGTGGGAGCATGCGGGATATGCAGCCCAGGCTCTGGTGCTGTCCCAAAGGCAAGCCGCGCCTTGTGCTCTGGGCACGTCTCCGGGGGTCTTGTTCCGACACTTTGCTCTTGTCCGGGCACCGCTGGCTATTTGGCTCCACCTTCAGGGCACTGGTCGGGGTGGGGGCGGGAGGGGGAGGCGGTGTAGAGACTAGTGGCTGGCGCCTGCTGACCTTAGCCCAGCCCAGTGTGGCCTGGAGACGTGGCAGAGCCTGGGGGGAGGCTGCTCCGTCCCTGGCTAGGTGAGCAGCCCAGAGCAGCAATGGGAAGTAGCTTATTTTCCTGGAGTTTCTGGGGTCAGTGCCTAACACCGCTCCAGGGGGCTTTTGTACTCTGTTATAGTACATCCACAATAATTGATTTACGGTTATTAAAGCTCTTGTTCTTCTATTTCTTTTCTTGTGTACGTATAGTGTGTAACATGGATACATGTTACTTTTTGTGCCCAGACTTAAGCACTAAAACCTTTACCCACTCTGTTGTTTTATCACTATAGCTTTTCTTTGGCAGAAGGTAGTGCATTTATGTGTACAAAATTTACCCAATATTGTCATTAAGCCAGTTCTCACATAGTAAAGCTTTAAAGGCTGAAATAAGTCGACTAATTATTTAATGTTATGGGTTGTATTCATTCTGCAAAGTTCTTTGGCCAATACATTTATTAATGTTAGGGATGAGGGTCATCTTTAAATATGACTTCCACTTGCCACTGTAAGAATTTGGTAGCACCTATAGGAGGAAATGAATGACTAGTAGAAAAATGGGAAGCCGCAGAGATGCCTTTGGGAAAGCATTGTGCATATTTGCCTCACCTCCCACTCCTCAGTCTAGTTCAGACTGACATCTGTCCCCACTCCAGCCCTCACCTCATTCATCTCCAGTTTAACAAATCCATTGAATTTTTTGGATATCACCCTCTTTGGTATCTCTGTAGATTTTGATACTGTTGCCTGTTTCTACCTTGGAACACTCTGACTTTTGGATACCATGGTCTTCCTGGTTTTCTTCTTATCTTTCTAGTCATCTATTGTTGTCTGTAGTTTGTCTTCTACCTGGTTATTCTTGAAGGATTGGTTGGGTCAACTTATCTTCTCACTCTGTTCTCTTAATCTCATCCTAGAACACAACTCCAGAGACTATGAGTACACTGAGGGAACCCACACTTTATGTGATTTCCAGGCTGCAGACCAAGTCATTGTCTTTCCTTGGGTGTTTCAAGGGGCTTAAATCCAGCATGCCTAATATAAACACTGTAGAACCTACACTCCAAAGCTATTAAACAAATATTTTGACCTTTTCCAGTGTTCCCTAAGTGAATGACACCACCATCTGCATCCAGTTGTGCAAGTCAGACATCGCCCCATCACTGCCTCAGTATTACCAAGTCTTACCACCTAAACATTTCTTGAGTCCACTCTTCTTCATATCTACCATCACCACCAGAGTCTAGGCCAGCAATTTGCAACCGGAGCGCCACACTAATTTTTAAAATATTCAGTACCTAACTATTTAGCCAGGGGCACTGACCTCTTTTCCTTTAGATTGTCAAATGAAAAAAATGACAACAGCCAACACAACAGTAGCCACCCTGGTGTAAATGAATCAAAATTATACCTATTTTTTTTTGCCAGATCAGCAAAAAATATACCTTTTGCTGTGCTGCAGAATTTTAGCAATTAGTTTTTGTGTGCTGAGAGATGGAAAAAGTTGAAAATTGCTGGTGTAGGCCAGAGTTTTTCAACCGTGGCGTTACTGATATTTAGGGTGGATAATTTTCTCCTTGGGGGTGGGGAAGGGCAGAATCATCCTCTTCCCCACTTCCCTAGGTATCTAGGGTGTTATTCCTATTTGAACTACTTCTGTATCCTTCTTAATGGTTTCTGCATTTACTCTGACCTATGGCCCAATCTGCATACTGTCATCAAAATAATCTTTCAGCACAAGTATGAATTGTCAAAAGCTAGGCTCAGCCTAAATGTTTTTTAACAGATAAATGTATAAAATTGGTACATCTATAAAATGGAGTACTGTTTAGCCATAAAAAGAACAATCGGTACATCCAACAACTTGATGGATTTCAAGGTACTATATTTTGCTATGTATAATGCACTCCCATGTATAATGCACACCCAAGTTTTTGGCCCAAACTTGCAGGAAAAAAAATTTCATTTTAATTTTTTATTTATTTATATTTAGAAACAAAACCGATCATCGTATTCCAGGGTATTCTTTTGCATACAGATATCATCATTGCTTTCTAGAGTTACCCTTTTAATGTATGAGCATAAATAAAGAAATTAAAAACATTTACATAGATACAGAGTTAGTACTACCCATGTATAATGCGCATCCTTATTTTTCCCTCAAAAATTTCAGCAGAAAAGGGGTGCATTGTACACCGCAAAATGTGGTAATTATGCTGAGTCAAAAAAGCCAGTCTTAAAAAGTTACATGCTATGTGTGATTCTCTGTATGTAACATTCACAAAATGAGAAAATGTTAGGGAACATTTGGTTGCCAAGGCTTATGGTTGGGAGAAGGGCAGGGCAGAGGAGCAGCGGGAGGGGCTGCTTGGGGGTGCAGCACAGTTCTGCATCCTGATCGTGATGGCGGTGACACGGGTCAGTGATGCGATGCAACTTCATAGAACTCAACACACACGCACACGTGCACAAATATAAAAACAGGTGAAATCCAAGTAAGGCCTGTAGTTTCGTTATTAGTATTGTACCAATGTTAATTTCCTAGCTTTGATCATTATACTATATAGTTACATAAGATACTATTACTGGGAGAAGCTGGGTTAAAGGTACTCATGAACTTTGTTCTATTTTTGCAACCTTCTTGTGAATCTAAAATTTCTTCGGAACGGTAAAACGAAAGACAAAAAATGTCACTGCCAGTTAAAATGCCCTGTAGAGACTTTCTATCCTTAAAAAACCCAATTCCTTAACCTGGTTTATGAAGCTTAACACAGCCTGTGCTACTGCTACGTTCCAGTCCTCATTCTTCTTTCCGGTTCTGTGCTAAATTGGTTTTCTTGAATGTCTTGTTCCTTCTACCTTATTAGGGCCTTTATCACTCCTATACCTTAACTTTTTTTTGAAATTTGCCCTCCTTATCTCCTTTCCCTTGCCTAATTAACTTTTGTACACTCTTTAGATCCTTGGGGAGGGGACCCTTTCCTAAGCTTCAACTGAGAATTGTATTCCTGTCTAACAGAACGGTCCTTGCTCTCAGAGCACATAATTCAGGCTACAGTTCATTGTACATTGCTATTACTCTTTGATTATCTCCTGGACTGGACTCAGTATTCTGTTTTTTGCATCCATTGTGTTTCCAGAGGTGGCAGTAGTACTTGGCAAGCAGCTGACCTTCACTGAATGTTAAATGAGTGAAAACATTAAAAACAAATTTTGTGTATTTAGAAGTTTTGAGTTTATTCTGGTGACAGGCTTGATAATTTGTAATTTTTAAGGGAATTTTCCCATATTTTGTAATCATTATCATCTGTTACCACCCTACTATCTAGTGGCATTTTTGCTATAGTTAACTTTCTAAAACCTGAGGCCTATCATTTAGCCATTGCTGGATATGTTTTAGAATGGGAGAAAAGCAGAAAATTGAGCACATTTTATTATTACTTGTTAATGTTAACATTAAAGGAATAGCCCACAAACAGTACTTTATAGGGAGAGAGGAAGTGTTTCAAAAATACTTACATATTTTTTTTAAATATAATAGTGACTGGCACCTAGATATAAACATAACATTCATTCATGTGACAGAAAGTAAATTAGTAACTTACTATGTGAAATATATTTGATGACTATATAGTTAACATAAAAATCATAATGATTTATTATATAGTTACCAAAGAATTATTTCCCAGTAGTAAGTATGTATATGAAAATATCACAGATTGTTTGCATATTTAACATTCTCACTGACTTTTTTTCAAGATTTATTTTAGAGAGAAGGTAAGGGAGGGAGAAGGAGAGGGAGCGAAACATCGATGCATGAGATAAATGTTGATCCATTGCCTGTTGCCGCCAACTGGGGACCTGGCCTGCAACCCAGGCATGTGTCCTGACCAGGAAACAACCGGAGACCTTTCAGTCCACAGAGCAGAGCCGAACCCACTGAGTCATACTAGTCAGGGTTCACTGACTTTTTTTAGGAATTTTAACAGACCCTTCATCTGGAAATAAGTGGCATGATAAACATAGAGAATCTATCTCTTAATTATTTATAGGATTATTCTCTATACAGGCTTTAAAAATATGCTTTTGACTGCTGTGTAATACTACTACATTTTAACATTTTTATAGCCTATCATAATTGAAGAAAAATGATGGAAGAGAGTGGAATAGAGACAACACCACCTGGGACTCCTCCACCAAATCCTGCAGGACCGGCTGCTGCTGCCGATTCTGTTCCTGCTGCTGCAGTGTCTTCCACCCCTGTTCCTTTAGGTAAATGGAGTTGTTTAGCATCTAGCAGGGGTGTCCAACCTGCAGCCCACGGGCCGCGTGCAGCCCAAGATGGCTGTGAATGGAGCCCAATACGAAATCATAAATTTACTTAGAACATTGAGACTTTTTGTGTGATTACATGTCGCAATGGTATTTAATGTACGGCCCAACACACCACTTCTTCCAGTGCAGCACAGACGTGCCAAAAGGTTGGACACCGCTGATAGCGTACTTTGAGTATAGTAAAGAGACTTATTTTTTTTCACTCAAATAAAAGAAAAATGCATATATTAAAACTTCACTGATCTTTGCCAATATGAAGGGAAATAGCCTTTTTTACTTAAGCCCAAAGATAGAAAACATGTATGTTTTGCTTTATAAAGGTAAACTTTTGTTCTTTATAGTCATAGTGAATATAAATCATCTTTCTTAGGACAAAAATATTCAAAAAAGTTTTGTTTCATGTCTATGACTTTGTGGTCATTAACCTTCTGAAAAAGTTTTTGAGCCTCAAGTATGTAGGTTTTTATGCTCGTAGCAGCTTTATTTTATTAAAACACATTGAAACAAAAACACAAAGGTGTACTTATGAACAGTACCATTACTTAATTTTATGTAGCTGCTGCTTTTACTTATGGGAGTTGAAAGTCAAATTTGTTGTATATGTTAATTTACACATTTTAAAAATAATTCCTGGGATATGGCCGGTTTTTTTTTTTTTTTTAATTTGACGAGAAGAAAGTAATGAGATACTTTGAAAACTTAGGTGAAAATAATTTCCAATTTTGTGTTTTTTCCCCCTCCCCCCCATTTTTCTAGCTGCAACCAGTTCTTTTTCTTCTCCAAATGTATCTTCTGTGCAGTCCTTGCCACCACATGCATATTCCACCCCTCAGCCGTCCCTTCCTCCTGTGAGGCCTTCGGCATCATTGCCTTTTGTGCCTCCTTCACCAGTTCCTTCTCCACCACTTGTTACTGCTATAACACCCCCTGTTTCTCCACCAACTGCTGCTGCCTTCAGTACTCCTCCTCTGTCCCACTTCCCAGCTTCGACTTCTGCCCCAAGTACTCTTCCACCTGCGCCCGCTTCGGGTCCTCCTACATCAGGATTTTCTGTTGGTTCAGCTTATGACATTACAAGGGGACATGCAGGAAGAGCTCCCCAGACACCCTTGATGCCGTCATTTTCTGCACCTACCGTAACAGGTAATTCTTTCTTACTGATACTTTGAAATAAATGGCTATAGCTAATATTTTTTTTTGTAACAGCTTTATCAAGATATAATTTACATATCGTATGATTTTCACATTTGAGGTATACAGCTCATTACTTGCTGATGTATTCACAGAGTTATGCAACCATCACCGCAATTTTTAGAACCTTTTTAAACTGTTTTTTAAGTATGTATGTATGTATGTATGAGAGAGAGGGCAAGGGAGGAGGAAAGAAAAGGAGAGAAACATTGATGTGAGAAACACACATTGATTGGTTACCCCTCATGGGCACCCTGGCTGGAGACCAAACCTGCAACTGCCGGGAGAAACCTCATAACTTACTAGCAGTCACTCTCTACTTCCTCCCATGTCTTCACAGTCCTAAGCAAACACTAATCTACTTTCCGTCTCTGAATTTGCCTATTTTGGACATTTCATGTAAATAGAATGTTATGTAGCATACATCACCAGTACTTCATTCTTTTTTATGGCTGGATGATAGTCCATTGAATGGATATACCACACTTTGTTTATTCAGTTCATCAGTGAATTATTTCAAGTTTTTTTTATGAACACTGCTTTTCTGAACACTTGCATACAAGTTTTTGTGTGGACATACTTTCATTTATCTTGAGTGTGTACATAGGCATGGAATTGCTTACTTGAAAAACTGACAGACTATTTTCCAAAGCAGCTTTTTTTACCAGCAGTGTATAAGGGTTCCAGTCTCTTTGCATTAACATTTTAAACTCATTTCTTTGACTTCCAGAGTTTTCTATTTTCATGTTTTTGCCATTTCAATCATTAAAATCTGATGTAATTTAGTATATGATTTTTATAGCTTGTAAAACTTAGTAGTACATTATTATAAGGAATGTCAAACAAAATTCCAAATTTTGTCCTAACATTTTGTGCACTTACAGGGAAACATCAAGGTGAAATTTGAGGGTTTTGGGGTTTCTTTTAAAAGCTTTACTTAAAAAAAATATCAGGAATGAAAAGCCCAAGGAGTAGTTTTATTTAGCCAGATAAAAATTCAAAACCAAATAAAAGCTCATATATTGCCATAAGTTGGTGGTATGGGCCCATTTCCTTTTCTAGGTCAGCTATAGCTATTGTAATATTGACCTCTCTGTAATGATTGTTGGAAACCAATATCAAAACTTCATCCATGTCATTTTCTGCCTGTTATTTCTCATTGTAGGAAAGGAAGCAACTTTGTTGTAATTTTTATTATCCAACATTGTATATCTGCCTTTACAAATAAAATTTTTTTGCAGAGTACAAGTATTATAGCCATGTTTATGTATATATAAGTTTTCTTTTTGAGGTAAAATAGAGTATACAAAGTACGTGTATTTATTGATATGCTTTTATATGATGGGCTTGGGTGCTCACATCAATTATTTTTATGCATTAAAGAGATTAGAACTATAGCTGTCCATATCCAGGTGTTAACTAGAGTAAGTATGAAGTACTTTCTGATTTTTATTTTTTTGGTCCATTCTCTTTTTCATAGGCTTACACCATTTTCAGTTGGCATAAGCCTGTGAAAAAGAAAAAATTTTCATTTTGGAATTTCGTTTCATTTGTATTTTATAAAATGATTATAGGAGATTCTTTTAAGTTACATTATTTCAGCTGTTTTAAACTGTTAATCTCATATATTTTCTTTTTATAACAAGTAGTTTATGGAATAAATTACATGAATTACATACTTCTGCCATTAACTAGGTATTTTGCCAGCCCCTATTACTCAGCAAGCCAGTTTGACATCTCTAGCCCAGGGGTCGGAGACCACATCAGCCATTACTTTCCCAGAGGAACAAGAGGACCCTAGAATTGTTAGAGGTCAGGATGAAGCATCTGCTGGTGGACTCTGGGGTTTTATTAAGGTAAGATATATTGACTTACTTACTTTAAAAACCACGCTGAATTTTTACCTTCTGGCCAAGATGGAGGCATAGGTAGATGCACTTCGCTTTCTAGCACAACCAGAAGTATGACAACCACCAATTTAAAAGGAAAAAACAATCAGAACTGCCAGAAAATTGAACTGTATGGAATTCTAACAGCCAAGCAGTGAAAGAAGAAACATTCATCGAGACTGGTAGGAGGAATGGAGATGGGCAGCTGGTACAGTAAGGAGGCAGCTGGAGGACCAGGCAGTCCCACATTCATGAGCAGATAAGCTGGGAGGAACAATGGGAGTGAGGCAGACCACGTACCTTAGGGTTCCAGCACAGGAAAAGAAAGCCTCAAAACCTCTGGTCGTTGCAGCAGCAGGAGAAACTCCCAGCCTCATAGGAATGTTCGTTGGATAGACCCACATGGTCCTACAACATACACAAACCCACCCACTGGGAATCAACATCAGAAGGGCCCTATTTGCTTGTGGGTAGCGGGGGAAATGACTGAAAGCTGGCTGAGAGCCAAGCAAGTGTCGTTGTTCCCTCCCCCACATACAGCACCACAGTGCAGTGAATTGCAAGTCTCTGCCCTGGCAAATACCTAAGGCTCCACCCCTTCCAATGTAACAGGTGCACTGAGACAAAGAAATATGGCCCAAATGAAAGAAAAGATCAAAATCCCACAAAAAGAACTAAGAAACAAGGAGATAGGCAATCTATCAGATCAAAGTTCAAAACACTGGTAATCAGGGTGCTCACAGAAATGATTGAGTATGGGTGCAAAACAGGAAAAAGTGAAAGCTATGCAAAGTGAAATAAAGAAAAATATACAGGGAAACAACAGTGAAGGGAAGGAAGCCAGCTCTCATATCAATGATTTGTAACAGAAGGTAGAAATAAACATTCAACCAGAACAGAATGAAGACACAAGAATTCAGAAAAAATGAAGAGAGGCTAAGGAACCTCTGGGACAACTTTAAACTTTCCAATTTCTGAGTCATAGGGGTGCCAGAAGGAAAAGAGGAAGAGCAAGAAATTGAAAACTTCTTTGACTAAATAATGAAGGAAAACTTCCCCAGTCTGGTGAAGGAAATGGTCATGCAAGTCCAGGAAGCTCAGAGGGGTTCCAAAGAAGTGGGACCCAAAGAGGAACACACTAAGACACATCATAACGAAATTACCCAAGATTAAAGATAAGGAAAGAATCTTAAAAGCAGCAAGTGAAAAGGAGAAAGTTATCTACAAAGGAGTGCCCATTTAGACTATCAGCTGATTTCTCAAAAGAAACCTAACAGGCAAGGAGGGGCTGAAAAGAACTATTTAAAGTCACGAAAGACAAGGACCTACATCCAAAATTACTCTGTCCAGCAAAGCTATCACTTAGAATGGAGAGGCAGAAAAAGCGCTTTTCAGATAAGGTCAAGTTAAAGGAGTCCATCATCTGAAGCCCTTATTATATGAAATGTTAAAGGGACTTACCTAAGAAAAAGATGATGATCAAAAACTATGAACAGTAAAAATGACAACAAGCTCACAACTATCAACAACTGAACCTAAAAATACCCCAAGACAAACATGTTAAACTAGGCAAACAACCAGAACAGGAACAGAATCATAGAAATGAAGGTCACAGGGAGGGGTTATCAGCAGGGAGGGGGAGGGCAGGAAATTGGGGGGGAAGTAGAGGGAATAAGAAGCGTAATTGGTAGGTACGAAGTAGACTGGGATATTAAGAATAGTATAGGAAACGGAGAAGCCAAAGAACTTAAATGTACAACCCATGGACATGAACTAAGTGGAAGGGAATGCTGGAGAGAGGGAGTGCAGGGCGGAGGGGAATAAAGGGGAGAAAAAAATAGGACAACTCTAATAGCATAATCAATAAAATATGCTTTAAATCATGCTTAATACTTAAATTATGAAACCAACAGATGTTCATTAGAGAAAACTTTGAAAATAAAAATTGGTGTAAAGAAAAACATTTTCATTCTTTTTACTAGTTTCCTATAGTTTCAGTATTTTGTGCATATCTATATAGATGTATCTCTTTATAAATAAAAATCAAATTGGGGTAGTAACATGTGGACACACACTATTCTGTGTCTTTTGTTTGTCTTCACGTAGCATATATCTGGAATATCTTCCTAGCCATAAAATATCTTTAGAAATGTTGTTCTTTCTGGCTGTTTTTGCCCTATATACCATGGCATTTATTTCTCTTATTTTATTTTGCTAATGTGCTCTGACATTTTCTAATTGTGATTCTTATCAATAAAACTATGATGAGCACACTTATATGCAGATCTTTGTGTTCATCTCTGTTTTATCAGGATTAATTTCTGATGAATGAGTAAACATTTTAAAAATTACTGAAACATATAAGCTGTCCAGGAAAGTTATACCAAAATACACCATCACAGCATTTTTTACTTTGCTAGCACTGATTAATAAACTTGAAGTGCAATATTTTCTAATTTGATAGGCCAAAAGTAATACCAGATTTTTATTTGCATTTCTTTGTTACTGAATTTGAACATTTTTCCACATGACTTTTTTGCCAGATATAGTTTTTTAAAATTTTTTTTAATCCTCAGATGAGGATATATTTCTTAATTTTAGAGAGAGAGAGTAAAGGCGAAAGGAAGAGAGAGAGACATTGATGTGAAAGAGAAACATTGATGTGAGAGAGAAACATCAATTGGTTGCCTCCCATACACACCCTGATAAGGGGTCAAACCCAGCCAGGGCTCTAGTTTTTTTTGTGAAGTCTTTGTTCATGTTCTTTGCTCAGTTTTGAATTGGGATGATTTTTTTCAGTGGATTTATAAGAGCTATGTTGTAAGAATATTTTATTATATGCTATTATGTGTTGCAGTTTTCTCCCTTCTAATAAAAGATTTGAAATTTTCAGGACAGTTTTTCCACAATAAATGATCATGTTTTTATTTGCTTTCTTCTAATTATTTTTTTTACACTTACCAATTTAATGTAGCTGATACTTTATTAGGAGATTGAAGTCAATTTTAATTTTCTTTCAGTCACTTAATTGACTGTTCCAACATAATATCCCAGTGATTTGATATGTCACCTTTATCTTAGTTTCTGAATTGTGGGTTAATGTCAGTTTCTGGGCTCTGTGTTCTGTTCCACTGCTCTACCTGTCCTTGAAATAGTACCACACTACTTGAATTATTGTAACTATTAATTATTGAAAGCCTACTCTGTGCTGGGGGAGTGTTCACCGATGAGTAAGCTAGGTCCATTCCAAGTCTCTGCATTCATAAAGACACATCTGTATTTGGTTGTGTAAGTTTGATGATATTTCTTTGCTGTAAAATTTCCCTTTACTAGTCTTGTTCACTTATTTTTCTTGATAAATTTTGGAGTCGCTCTGTCAAATTACCACCCCACAACGTTCTGCTTGATGGTTTGGCAGCAATTTAATTGTAAATGTATAGTAAACATTTTTAGATCAGTAGGTGGTTAACTTATTTACAGCATTTTTTCATGTTTCATGAAGACGCCATTTTTCTAAGGTTTTTTTTTTAATATCCCTCTATGCTTTTTAAAAGTTTTCTTTATATTAGGACTGTCACTTCCTTTCCTTGTTAAAAGTATGTCGTTGTGTCATATCATTTGAAATACCCAGTTCAACTCCAGAGGTCTTGTGAATAACTCTTCTTCTCATATTTCACGTAAGGTTGGTTGGCAGTCGGAAGTGTCAGTGTTAACAAACTTAAATCTTTTTTCCTGAATCACCTTAGCTTAATGGTAGGCTGGGAGAGGCGGAATCATGGTTGTCAGCTACATGTCATCTTAGAGTCATTCTCCCTTTAGTACCTTCAGCCATGGGAGAAGTATAGCACAGACCCACTCTTACTGTCTAATAGTGTGGTTTTAAAAATAAGGTGGATGCAAGGCCAATTGGGGGATCACTTTGTAAGTTACATTAATATCTCATCACTATTCTGTACGCTGGAATCTAATATATTGAATGTTAACTCTAATTGAAAAAAAAAAATATCCAGAGGAATGGGTCTGCCTTAAAAGGGAGAATGTGAGTATGAACAAAACAAGAATCAGAAACTAGGAAGAAGAAGCAGTTTTGGTAGAACATAGTAGAATATTTTATATGAAGGTAATAGGTAACTGTTTTGGAGGATAAATATGAGAAATGTTTTCACTATATTTTTTTATTAGGGAACAAAGTATGGGTCTATGGAGACATCTTATTACAGTCTTTATTTGGGACCTTGATGGACAGGTTTTGCTTGGTCTTCTATATAAATAAATAGAAGTGACATGAAATAATATATACATAAAAATGAAGTAAATATATACACATACACATATATATGTGTATGTGTATGCAATGTACATATCTCCCAGACCAGTGCTACTCAAAGGGTGTTCTGCATACTGTTGTGGGTCTGTGATAGATAAGAGAAATTGAGAGTAAGTGATTTGAAACTTCATAGGAATTTAACATTGCCATCACCTTGTTTTTCTTATAATTTACAAAAGTACCAGTCTGTGATGCATTGGAAACCTAAAAGAATAATTTCTTTCATTATTAGGTGATCATGGTGTTGTTTGCTTAGAATGAGCATTTACATGTTAATTTGTTTTATGCAGGGTGTAGCTGGGAATCCTATGGTGAAATCTGTGCTTGATAAAACAAAGCATTCAGTAGAAAGCATGATTACAACGCTGGACCCTGGCATGGCTCCATATATCAGTAAGTATTTAAGATAGACCAGCATCTGGAATATTTTTTTTAAGTATGTGCCAGTGTCAGCCACTGATTGTAATTCCACTAATCAGTGGAAATCCTCTTATGTTCTTATATTAGGTTGATTGTCAAGTCTTAGTCTTGGTATTTGTAATTCATCTTTTTCTTAGTCACCATTAAGTGCATTTTGAAAACTCAGAATGAACTTTGTGAATTATTAACCAATGTGAATTATTAGTGTACATACTTGCTGATTTTAAGTGTAAATGTGGTTAGTATTGCTGTATATGACTTTTACTTTATTCATGATTGATAGTTGAAGTGATGCTTTGTTCATATTTGGTTTCTCCAGTTATCTATTTTAAGTAAGTGTGGTTATGCTTAATTTAGTAGTAATATTTTGATGGGAAGTTAACCCCTTTTTAATACTATCTGATTATTAGGTGTGTTGTGAAAGCTGTTTTAAACACTCTTGAATCCTCATTACCAAGAATCCTCCACAAAGTTGACATAGACATGCTGTCTGCCCTTTAGTTTCTAATGTTTATATCCAGTATGTGAAAAAATTATAATAGTTTAGCAGATCAGTGACCAATTATTAGTAATTCTGTTGAAGGTAACTTACAAGCCAAAGCCATGTACCAGGTACTTGAATATAGATTTTCAATAGCAATAAAAAGTCAACAGCCTTAATGAGTCTTGGGTGTGTTAACAGTTTACTATCTAGTAAATGTCAGTGGACAAAATCTAACAATGGCAACTACCGTTTATTAAATGCTTGGCTCTGGCAGGGACTGGTTCTCACAAGAGCTCTGTGAGGTAGGTATTATTTTCGAGTTTTAGATGAGAAACCTGGGTTCAGAGAGATTTCATTTTATCTTACGTCACACAGCTTGGTGGGACTAGATTGAACCCATGTTCCTTTTTTTTCCCCCCCAAAGGATTTAGAAATTAGGCCCTATTAGTATATTGATTTTGTATATTCATGATAATCAGGTTTGACAAGGATAGCATCATGTATAATTTCCACAGCTTCTATTTTGAATGCAAGAAAGTATTTTTGGAGCTCTTACTGTTTTAACAAGTACTGTATTAGACTGTGAAAGCAATTTGTTTATTCTTAGAGCAAGCCCTGTGAAGTGATAGGTATTTTTCTATGAAACAATCTCAATGGCTTCCCCAAGATAACGAAGTTGGAAAATAGTAGTTAGGACTCAAATCTAAGACCGTTTCTCAAGCCCGTAGTCTGCTTGACATCAAGAAAAGGGCAAAAAACCAAGGTGGGGGAGAAGAGATAAAAAGTGAAGTTTTATTTATTAGAGCATATCATAACATATAATCTTAATCCGTAATCTTTAAAAGATGTAACAGTAAGTGTGGAAAAACTGATCCTTTCTTGACAGGCAGCAGGACCATTCTTATCTAACAAAACTCAAAGGAAAACATGATATTTTTAATTAAATATTCTAGAAATCATTTGATTTAATACTTTTAAATGTGTCAGAATGGTAGAGGAGCTATTAGAAATGTATTTTAACACAGTTGAACTTTCTACATTCTTTTAATTCTCCCTTTGTTAAGAAAGGCAGCACTAGGCAACAGCTCAGCAAGGGTCAAGAGATATGTCTCACATGGAAGAAAAAACATGAAAAGAACAGTATACTTTTCCTCTTCTCTCCTATGTGAGCTAATTAGTTTTAGTAACTTCTGAAATTCTAGTAAGAGTGTGGAACATTATGTCAGTCAGGAAAAAAAGGGGATCCATATTAAAAAACCTAGATACTTGGAAAATATTTACAACTATTTCACAAAATCTTACAGAAAAACAAAGCATTGTTTTGGGGCAACATGTTATAATACAAATAATGTTAGATCAAGTTTTTAAAAATAATTAGGCACATTTGATCATACCACTGTAGTACACTAATTTTTTTAAGCAATTGAAATGTTAAAAATGTTTCAAAATATTTTAATTTCATATTGCTCATAGTCTCTAAAGTTCAAGTTTTATGAGGGTTGGTATTTCATTTTTTAATATATGCTTGCATATTGGTGTTAGGACAGTAATAGATGTGTCATTTATATAGGACAGTGATAGACGTGTCATGTATAAGTACCCATTTGTGGTATATGCTCTTTTATTTCAGTGATGGGGATGGATAATATAAAAAGTTTAACTCTCACATTTTAAACTATCTTCCAGATAAAAAGCACATTTCACAGTCATCCTTGTTTAGTGCAGAGCCTCTGCGCAACTCTGACAAATTATCGTATGAGTAACTGTCATTTTCATTTTCTGTAAATAGAGTATCCCAAATGTGTAAATTATGTTTCACAAGCCATATCATTTAATTTCTATGATTGCCGAAGGACTGGCAACTGTGTCATCTGTATGGTGTTAGATTTTTTTGTATGATAGATGCCTGTCTTAATTAATTAGGAGCAGAAAAACCATTTGATTTACAACCTTAAAAATGCAAATAAATTTATCTAAAATTAAAACTAATCGGAAAATGAAACTTGGCTAAATTAATAGAACATTATTGTAGAAAAACTGTTTTCAGAGTGGCCATAACATCATTTCTTAAATTATATTAGGAGCTGTTATTAGAAGCTAAAAATGTGTTCTATGAACAGATTAAGTATGTAAAGTGCTGGGTTAAAGTCATGATTTTTAATTGTTGGATTTCTCAGAATCTTTATGCTAATTTACGTTGTAAATTTCCAAGAAAGAAATACGGTGTGCATCATCTCCCAAGCTTGTTAGACCACAGCACACTCTTTGCAGGGAGAGCTGCTAGTATATTCTGGAGCAGTGTTTCATAGAATACAGAACAGTGTGGGGCTGTCTTTGTGGCAGGTATGTGATAATCAGAAATGTTAGAAGGTATGTGTCATCTTCTGCTTGCAAATAGAAGCCCTCAGATAATGCCTTAAATTCTTAATTTTAAAACGAAGATGCCTATATCGTTCATCATTGTGTGAAGTTTGCCATAATTATGCAAATAAAATGTTAGTTTATGGTAGTAATTATGAGAATTTCATTATTTTAATTTGGAATTGAAATTTTCTTCTGGTCTTTTTAGAATCTGGAGGTGAACTGGATATTGTTGTGACCTCAAATAAAGAAGTAAAAGTCGCTGCAGTCCGGGATGCCTTCCAGGAGGTCTTTGGCTTAGCTGTGGTGATGGGTGAAGCTGTTCAGTCCAATATTGCCCCACAACCAGTGGGCTATGCAGCTGGATTAAAAGTGAGTAATAGGAGACCGTCAGGGTATAGAAACTGGCAGTTCGTTTCTTAATAATTTTGGCAGTAATTCTGTGGTCTATAAGGAGCTAATTGGTTTTACATAATGAAATGGCCACCTTGGTTTTAATTAGATAACTGTAGTGTTATGAAGGTAGAGTGGAGTTTTAATTTAAAGAAACCTAACGTGGGTTTTGATCTTTGGGGGAGAGGAGGGAACACATGCAGAGAGCACAAAAAAAAAAGGAAGTAGTAGTTAGTCCTAAGAGAGATTCTTAACCCAGTGGTAACATTCAAATCAATTACTAAAGCTATAGTAACTCTCAAATCCCATAAGCTTTTTATTAATATTATTATTAATAATGCTTTAAAGTGTTTTTTTTCAAGGTTAGCTTCCCATGAGTCTTTAGTTACAGCATTTTTGCCAGCCAGTCAGTGCATAACTTTGTTTTATGTCTGCTTCTGTTTAAATCAACCGTGTGTGTATGTGTGTGTGTGTGTGTATCTGATTTATTCACATTAAACTCTCACAGCCAGCAGCACTATAACTCATGCCTAAATGAGGCTTACCTAACACGCATATTTTCTCCATAAGGTACATCACAATCTTTTTACTTAGAAACACTAGACAGCGTTTTAGCTCTGTTCTTGGGAGCCATTTTCAAACAGCAAAATCACTAAGGAAAAAACAGAACTGAAAAACAGCACTAAATAATTTTATTGAAAAGCCAGTCCTAGTTATGACCATTGTTGAATAGTTTATATTTAATAAATAGAGGTGTAATTAGTATCTGCATTAAAAAACACATAGTTTCCTTATATTAGCAATAACCATTTAGAACATAGAATATTAAAAAAAAATCCATTTCACAGTAGCAACCAAAACAATAATGCATATTGGAATAATTTGGAAGGTATACTCCAAACTGTTAATACTGAGAGAACATGATGGGACTTTGCCACTTTTTGTCTTCTGTATTGTTTGAGTGTTTATAATGAATATATATGTATTTGTATAAATACATGCATGTGTTGCTTGTATAACCATAAATTAGTGTATTTAATAACGAATAATTTGAAACGGTTTCTAACCTGCGCTGTTACTATTCAGGGAGCCCAGGAACGGATAGATACCTTGCGTCGAAATGGAGTGATCCATGAGAAACAGATTGCTGTGTCAGTAGAAAACTTTATCGCAGAATTGCTACCAGACAAGTAAGTCTTAAATTTTGTTTTCAGTGACAGATTTTTCTTGTTAGGAGAACGCTTAAGATCTTGCTTAGCAACTTTCAGATATACAGTATTATTAACTGTAGTCACCATGCTGTACATTACATTGCCGTGACTTATTTTATAACTGGAAGTTTGTACCTTTGGATCCCCCTCACCCATTTCACCCAACTCCAGCCTCCAGCAATCACCAGTCTGTTCTTTGTATCTTTTGAGTTCCATTTTTAAATTTCTTTAGATTTCATCTATAAGTCAGATCATACAGTATTTGTCTTCCTCTAACTTAGTTTCCTTATTAGCATTATGTCTCCAAGATCCATGCATGTCATCATAAATGGCAAGGTGTTCTTCTTTTTTATGGCTGAATAATATTCCAGCCATAAAATGTTATTCATCCATCTGTGAACACTTAGGTTGCTTCATGTCTTGTCTCTAGTAAAGAAAGCTGCAATGGAAATGGCGGTGCAGACATCTTTTAGTTAGTGTTTTATAAATGCTCCGAATTGCTGGATAGGGTATTTCTATTTTTAATTTTTGGAGGCACCTCCATACTATTTTCCATAGTGGCTCTACCAATTTATATTCCTACCAACAGTGCATATGGAGCTCCCTTTGTCTCCACATTCTTCCTGCCAACAGTTGTTATTTCTTGCCTTTTTGATAATAGCTGTCCTAACAGGTATGAGGTGATACCTCATTTGGTTTGGATTTGCATATTCCTGATATCAGTGGTGATGGAGTATCTTTTCAGGGTATCTGGTGGTTTTATGATTCTTGTTAGTTAAAATGCTGGTGGTGTTGCAGTCAATTTCACTTAAGTCAACTTGTAAGTATCTTTTAAATGGTTTTAGAAAGTTTTTTTGATTTCATGAAGCTGTTTTCAGAGACTGATTCATTGTGAACAATTTAAAAAATGTGATAAGAAGGATTCTTGCTTCTGCGCTTATTTTTTAATTTGCTAATAACTTTCTAGTTGGCTATACATTAATGATAGAGATGGTAATATTTCCTCAAGTGATGTTTTTACTATATTAGCCATGACAAACTGTGTGCATGCTGTTGCACTATTTGAACTTGATCAGAGGAGGTTGCCATTTATCCTTCTCTCTGGGGTAGGGAGTGAGGTAAAGTTGAAAGATAGGAAGAAGAGGGAAGAGAACTGAAAATTGCCTCAGCCAATGCACTGTAATGAAAGAAATAGAAGAGGTTTGGTGAGTATGATATATATCAGAGTTTTAGATTTGAGTTAAACAGAATGGGATATCCAGGTTGACAGGTTCAGGAGCATGATAGTATATTGGGTTGGCCAAAAAGTCCGTTACATTTTTTCTCTAAAATAAAGACATTTTTCATTTTCATCAATAACTTTATTGATTTGGATATTTTGAGTATGCCAGTTGTCTCCCACTATTGGCTTCTAGTGGATAGAGGCCAGGGGCGCTGCTAAACATCTTCCAGTGCATAAGACGGCCCCAGAGCAAAGAATTCTATGGCCAAAATGTCAGTAGGACCAAGAAACTTCACAAACCACTTTTGACACATTCAGTCACAGCACCTTCTCTGTATACTGCACAAATCTTTTTTGTGTGTGTGTGTTTCACTTGTATTTTTACCTTTCTTGAAATAATCAAGCATAATACAGTAGAATGTTATGTATCTTCTTCCATCTTCAATATTAAAATGGCTGCACAAAATCTGCTAATTTTGATAAGGTTTTTTTTTTCTTTAATGCATGCTGATATGACAGCTGTCAAAATACAGTCTAACAAAATTGTTTCGAATGAAGCTAAAGACAACTAAGCACTGCTAGAGCCATTGTACGGCAAAAACCAAACGAACTCTTTGGCCAACCCAATATTTTAGAGAACAGGGGAGACCTTGGAGTCCTCTAACGTGTAGTTCCTGGCATCACAGTGAGTACACATTCAGGGCATTCCTCGAGTCCTCCATTCTCATTTTTTCCCCCATCTTAGCAAGAAAAGGAACTTTCCATGAGAAGTAATTTTTAGTTACTTTTGCTGCTGCTGTTCCCCATTCTTTTCCTCCTCTTGGAATATAAAAGCCAATAGGGGACTTTTATATATTGTTTTTGTAGATAGTTTGCTTGAAAAATGATTAGAAAAAATCCCTTTTTTGAAATACTGCCTTTTTGCAATCTGCTAATATTTTTTGCTGAGTGATATTGCTTGTTATTTTTCATTTTGTCTATTCATTAAAACTTTTATTTAGCCCATAACTTGAAATATATTTTTATAGGTGGTTTGATATTGGTTGTGTGATAGTTGAAGATCCTGTTCATGGCATTCATCTAGAAACATTTACACAAGCGACACCAGTGCCTTTGGAATTTGTGCAACAGGTTAGTTTTCTCCTTTTTTAAATTTTTTCATTGTGCTCCAGGGAAACTTTTGATATTGTTGTCAAAATAAAAGTGTGATTGGATTTTTTGGTTGGAAATAGCCTTTTAGCTTTTTTCTTTTTCCTATTTATTGTATGTTTTAGTACCTCCCTACTTTTGTTTTCCAACTATCTTTGAAAAGGCAATATATGACATGGTTAATCACTATTTTCCTCTTTTTTTATGATTGTGTTCCTTATCCTATGATGAAAAAATACCTCTTTTGCTGTTTCTTTTTCACTTTTCCTTTAGTTTCCCCTTTATCTCAAATTTTATTTCCCTTAGTATTTCATTTCCTTTGTCTTGATCTTTCTCTTTATTTTGTTCATCTTTGGTACTAAGTAGAAACCTTAGTGAAAGACATGTGTCTTCACCTATACACGTGGTTACTGGACTGTAAACAAATGTACAACGATTTTGATTCCTTTTATATTTTTGTACCTTGAATTCTTTCTTGAACAAAGTGGAATGTACGTTGCTCCATTCATAAAATTTCCGTCACATTTGTACTCATGTACCTTGCCAAGTGTCACATCAAAACTTCCTCTTCAAGGTATTTGGGAATTTGAGACTCTGATAAAGCTATTGGATTCTCTCCCAAGCAAACAAATATATTCACTCACATATAAATTTGGTATGTGTGTTCCTAGAATCCCTGAAAGCAACTCTTACAGGTTTACAGTTTAGATGGGGACTAAGAGTTGATGCTTGGAATTTTGAAGTTTTATTGGACTATTGACTTATACCATAATTTTTACCATAATTTCTTTTTTGAAGTACAAGCATTTTTATAGATGTTAACATTAAACTACTACAATATGAAGGTGACTACAATATTGTAAGCAAATATACATATTGCTATACTAATAAATTAGAAAATCAGACAAAATGGTTGATTTGTCTAGAAAATTGTAAATTGCCTTAGGTGATTTAGGAATAAGTATTAGGTTAAACCATTTGAAATTGCTGTCTTTTAAGTCAAAAACAGTTCTATATTGGCAGTTTCATGTGATTCAATCTTAATCACCTCAGTGAAGCATTCTGAAAGGCATCTTATTAACATAAGACAAACACCTTTATAGCTTTTATCACTTAGGAAATTACAAGAGTTTTAGGAGTTCTGCCAGAAATAGGGATGAAGACCAAATATATATTTCTTATTACAAACTGCAGCATTAGAGTCCATCCCTGGTCTTCAAACACAGATCCTTTATAGTGAAACTGTTATAAAGGTCTAAAGATACTGGCATATTACTAGAATCCCATTCAGTTGTTAATAACTGTCTAGCCCATCATATTACATGAAATGTCACCAGGGTGAGGCCACTCAGGTTTGCAGGCTACTATTTAATCTGTTCAGGTTCCAAGAATAGAAATGGTGTCAGCAATATATGGCTTCACCCTTTCAGGCATCTGGTACAGGTGTACGTCATAGATATTGTAGGTTTGGTTCCAGGCCACTGCAATAAAGCAATATCTCAACGAAGTCACCAATTATTATTTTGTTTCCCAGTACACAAAAAAGTTACATTTACACAATAATGAAGTCTGTCACACATGCAGTAATAGCATTATGTCCATTAAAAAAAAAACAATGCACATACCTTAATTTAAAAATATTAACCATTATCTGAGCCTGTTGGAAAAATGGTGCTGATAGACTTGCTTGACGCAGGGTTGCAATAAACCTTCAACTTGTAAAAGAACACAATATCTGTGAAGCAGAAAGTGAACTGAAACAAGGTATGCCTATATAATCGAGCTAAGAGACAGTCTCATCTCTTGCACTGAGCCTTTTGAGTTGTTGGTGTAATATTCAGTTTCCCTCATTGCATAAACCATTTATTCATTCTTTTACCCATAGCTACTATTTTCCCTCCTCTCCATTTACACCCAGACTTTTCCACCTTTGGAAGGATGTTAGGTTTGGCCACTGCGCTGGTCTAGATTGCAAGCAGCAATACAAGTCTAGCAAGTGGGTTTCTCTAAGTCCATATGGGCACCCTTTTAATAGGCTAGGTTCCCTTTCCCCTCCTGCCTGACCGTATGGCCAAGCCGTCGGCCACTGCCCGTGCATCAGTAAAAACCGAAATGTGGATTTTACCGCTGTCAGTTCTTTCATCACTCCTAGGTAAAGAGGATGTACTTTAGCCCAGCTGATTTGTGTTTTCCTTAAGCGAGAGTGGTGGCCTTCCAAATGGGACATTGTCCATTCACCGTGGAACTGCCATTCATGAACCAAGGTGCCCTTTCAGTGGAGAGCTGTTTCTTAGGGCACGGTCCAGGCAGCAGTCAATCCCAGCCGCTCCTCGGGTGGCTCCAGAATTGGTCCTACAGGCAAAGAGAGTCCCTGCTTGTATCTCCAGCGTGGCATTCCCTCAGCTGCGCGATCCTGTCTAAACCATTTCCATACTCTTCTGGTCACTGCCGTCCCCATGGGGGCATTTCTTCAACATCATCCTAGACAGGATATTTCAGGTTTCAAGATCTGTTTATGTCCTTCAAGTCATAGGGGTAGCTTCAGTTAAGAATATCTGAGAACAAGGTAGTAAATGCCCCTCAGATGGAAATTCTCCAGTCCAATGTCCCAGTAGTCGTGGCCGGGCACTGACAGGTTTTTGCCGTAAGCCCCAGTGTTGGTTTCACATAGGACCATGGCACAGAGATTTTTGTCCCTCCTGGCACTCCAGCTCCCATCCTGCACTGTGGAGGCTGAGATGGGTTCCCATATAGTAATTCCATCAACTCCTCTGTTTCTAACTATATTCTCCAATAGGACTTTATCAACAGGGTGTGGTTTTATAATACTAGGTGGGGGAATTTTTCTCTAGCAGACATCCAGGTAAAGGAGACACGACTTCTTTACGTATATCTGCTTATACATCCCACCTTCAAAATTGTATCAATTATTCCTAATATTCCTTCAGTTTAGTGAGCACTCACCGGGCTTTACCAAAAGACTTTGGTGCCATAGCTCAGGGGACTCCTGTATCAAGAAGCCCTGGAAACCTCTCTTCCCCACCCCGACCATTTTAGCCGTTTTTGTGGCAAAAGGCTTTCTAACGATAAACCATTAGAAACCGAAGGAAGCTTCTGTCACTGCCATTCGTCACCATCGCTCGAGTGTCAGGGGTCAGCAAAAAAATGGCCCGCAGCCAGGTGGCATACCTGGCCTGTTTTTGTAAAGAAATTTTTATTGGAACATACTTCTGCCCATTTATTTGCATATTGTTTATGTCTGTTGATGTATTACAGTAGTAGAATTGAATACAGTAGAGAATGGCCCAGAAAGCCTGAAATGTTTATCTGGTCCTTTTCAGAAAACTTGCTGGCACTTGTGCTAGGTGTCTGACCATTGCAAAAGAATAACTTTTATTTTTAGGAATATGTATTAGAAAAAAATAAATATAATGCTCAAAGAACAGAGCATCAAAACTGTAAGAGGGGGGACCCAAAAGAACTGGAATTATCTTCTGGGCAGGGCAGGCTACCCTTCTGGTACAGCCTTCCCCCGCCAGGTGAGTGTTCTAGGAACCCATCTGCATCAATGTACCAGCTGGTGGTGGTGTGAGAGGCGTTTGGCTTCAGTGAATTATTTTTTTGAAGACTCTTTCAAACACGTTTGCCCATTTCTCATGATGAGTGGTTTACGAGTGCACCTGCCTACATTGTGCTGAGTGTTGAGCAGTTTTTGACTAAAAATGGCATGACCCCCACACCCTACCCTCCGTATTCACCTGAATTCATCCTGAGCAACTTCTTTTTGTTTCCCTGAATGAAAAAAGTCCTCAAAGGGAAATGTTTTTCTGATGTGGAAGAGGTGAAACAAAAATGGCAGAAGCAGCAAAAGGCATTAAATCTCTTGAGTACAAAAACTGTTTTTGAGCAGTGTAAAAAAACAATACGTGTATTGCATCAAATGGAGAACACTTTGAAGGTGACTCAGGTTTAAACATTTAAGAATACACACAGTTTTTATAAATACCGGGTTTTTTGGCCCCCTCTCCCCCTTGTATATAGGGAAAAAAAATAAAAGCTATATACACTAATATCAAAACTTACAACATATTGCTAAGTAAAAACAAACTGCATCTAGTATGATCTGTATATATCCATAAACAGACACATGTACTTTAAAATGTATGTAAGTGAACAGAAAAAGGCCTGAAAACATACACAACAAACTGTTAGTGTCGTTCACCCTGAAGAGTGTTATTTGAAGGGTGTCAGAGTGTCATTTGCCTTTTACTTTGCCTTTTTCTCCCTGTTGTGTTGTTTTGTTTTTTGTTGTTGTGGTTGGTGATTGAGGTTCAGAATTAAGATACCAAAGTGTGTATATTGAGGTGCCTTCCTTTTATTTTTGCTGTTCAATTCTTCTCCCTTGTTTCTTTCTTATCCATCTTGAGAGTGTAATTATATTCTCCCTTATTGTTGGAGTTTTTTAAGGGAATAGAAGTCAGCCCTTTAGGGGATTTTAATCAACATGTGTATTAATGAAAATCTAGGCAAACTTTTACATTATTTATGCATATTAAACAAGTAGAAATGATACCCCACCCCCACCCTCAATTTAAAACTGACCTATGCTGGATTTTTGCTGATAGTGTTAGGTACCTCGTTCCCTAAAAATGTGATCCTGGACATAACGTCATAAGTATCACCTGGGAACTTGTTAAAAATGCAGACTCCTGGGCCCTAACCCAGAGGTCCTGCATCAGGGTCTGCCACTTCACAAAATCATCGGGTGCTTCGTGTGCATGTCGCATTTGAGAAGCACAGTTGGGATAGTGTCTCTGAAGATCTTAGTGATTCATCTGCTGCTTTCCTTCTCTGAAACTTAGTGAAATACTGAGAGTGCAGCGCGTGTTGTGGAAGAGAGAGCTTAATAGGAGGCTCCCCAGTTGCTGGGCTGTTGGACAAGTTTACTCAGAAACTATTAAGTATTATACTCTTTCTCCTGGAACCTACTGTGGAGTTCCAATTCAGTGGTCTTAGGTGGGGCATAAAAAATCTCTGGTTTTCTAAAATTAAAAAAAAAAATCTAAGGTGACTGTTATACAGAACATATTTGGGAATCACTGTGGAGATCCATTTCTACATGTAGATACACTCTGTACTATACCTAACACTCTAAAAGAGGAAAAATACATCATTCTTAGATATCAAGCAGTGGGTTTATTCTCTCATCCCTGTGTAGGTGAATAAATGATTTGAGTGGGAGCACATATAGGTTGGGCTAGGTATGAATGACAATTGATGCTGTCCTGCACTGGATAATATTTCGTAGGTATTAACTTACTCACATGAAAATGAAGTTTCTGAGATTACTCCTCTCCAAAGTAATTGAACTGTTCTTTCTGAATGGGCTGAAGCCTAATATGCAGTATCCCTCTTTCTGGTAGGAATGTCATGACTGTAAAAAGATACAATATTTCTGTTATAACACTAATCTTACTGAGAACCCAAAGTGACATTGAATGTAGATGTGAACTTAAGCGTTCTGACACCGAGCTCTGTTAGATGGAGTCATTAGATTTAAGACTTTAGATTGTATTTAAACAACAAAATGAGCCTAGTGTGGACATTTTAAACAAATTAGATGTGTGCAATATTGTGCTGATTCTTTCATAGCCTTGTAACTTCCTATGGTTGGCAGCGTTATCTGTTTCTCAGGGTTTGTCATTATAGTAAAAGGAAACTGAGAGACTTTGAAATGTCACTTATAGCTATTTTCAATGATATTTTGAATGTATTATAAATAATAGTAATATCATTTTTCCATAGGCTCAAAGTCTAACTCCCCAGGACTACAATCTAAGGTGGTCAGGCCTTTTGGTGACAGTGGGCGAAGTCCTGGAAAAGAGTTTAGTAAATGTCAGCCGGACTGATTGGCACATGGCTTTCACTGGCATGTCACGTCGACAGATGATCTACAGTGCAGCCAAAGCAATAGCGGGCATGTATAAACAGCGCCTACCACCCAGGGCCGTGTGAGAGAAGACTTATCTAGGATACTGAGATGTCCTCACTTTGACCTTGGTGTAAAGAAGAGATTTGACTTTCTTAAATTGGATAGCTTCAGTGATCCAGCAGTTTTGGTAATTCTACTGTAGGCTACAGATTTTCTTTCCCTTTAAAAAAGCATGGTTTTATGTCAGTAGATGAAACAGATCCTTTTTATGATCATAATTTCATGGACTGTAGTTCCCAAAAGAAATACACAGTATAAATATTTTTATAGGACAGTTTGATATACCAGATTTATAAGGTGCAAATTCATGTGTTAAGACATTTAACTTAAAGATATGTACTTGATTATTTTTTTTTAAGAAAACATAGTTAAAGAACATGTTTATTGAATATTCTTTAAAAGCATTGCTTCTTTTAATTCAAGATTAATCTCTCCTCAGTCTTTGAAGGTTTTTGTGTGCGCCCTTGATCTCAGGTCTGATGCTGAGCAGCGTGCTCAACAGTACACCCTAAAACTCCTACTTGTAGGGAGATAGATGGTGCACATTTTTTTACGCAAATTTTTAACATGGGCCAAAATGACAAATTTGATCACTTTCTTTTTGGTTGTCACGAACACACATAGTTTGAATAATTCTACATTTTTCTTTTTTTAAAATAAGTTCTGGGTATTACAGATTTATACTCTGAATATTAGGGTAACTACATTTTATCTTTTGATTGCTAAATGACAAAATCGCAGATGATTTGAGTATTTTTTAAATTGGAAGTATTTGGGTTATTTTGAATAATGCTGTTCAGTATCTCCTAGTAAACTGACAAAAGCCATTATTTCTGCTTCTACTCATATTTTCCCACTGTAACAGAAAAAGTTCTGAGAGGGAATTATTTTGTTGTTCATGGGATTGTATGTCTCTTATTTTCGTTAACATTACTTCTTACTAAGTTTGCCTTAAACATTGCTTTTGTAACTTCGTGGCATTCTGCCTTTTTATGGAAGTTTTCAAAGAAACTTTTTTATATTCAACCTGGTATATTTAGTCCATTATGGCGATCCTTAGTGAAAGGTTCTTTTTCTCCCAAATGTATTTACCATTTTTGGATTTATATATATCAAAATTAAATAATCTTAACACTTTTAAAGTCTATATATGCAAGTTCAAATAACTTTTCAAAGATAGTTTCTTATATAAATGTAATTTAATTTTTATTTACTCTTCTATGCAGTTCCTTAGATTTAAAAGATTAGCACAGTCTTACTAAGGGTGTTGAAGCTCTTATCCTGCACTGTCATTATATGTAAGGTTTGGGTTTTTTTTTTTTTGGTTTTTTCTTTTTTGGTTTTTTTTTTTACCCAGGAATGAGATGACTAAGTATTAATTTTCCAACTATGGTATATGTTAATTTTTGAGCATTGTATAATGATTATTCAGTGAAATTCAGACTTGTGTGTCATTAAAAGTAATGAGAAAGAAAGAGATGAAACCAATTATGGTGTAATAGGGACAGCATGCTTTTTTCTCCGTCTTTATTGGTATTTATGGAACAGTTCATCTGTGTTTTCTCCATTTTTCATAAATAAGGGCAGCCTTTCTCTACCTTTGTATTTATCCTTTATTTTCAAAAACTACCCTTTTCTAACAGTATTTGTTCATGGCACAGCCTGATGACTAAAATTATGGATGAAGAAAAGTTATTATTATGGATGAAGGAAAGTCTTCCTTGTAAAAGTGTTTTTGCTACTTCATTTCTGTTATTGGGAAATTTCACAGATCCTAAAAGTAACTCATTATCTCATACACCGTAGCAGCGTTAGCCGGGCAGTCTGCCAGTGCTGGCATTTCAGCCTAAGCTGCTAACCCATCAGTGAGACCCTGGTTCCCTTTATCAGTAATCCAGTTGGCGCTTTTCTCTTTGTGCTCCTTCTTTTACAACTCCCATACTAGCATTTCTTAGAGTTGGACTGGAGGCTCTTTGCTTTATTCTCCCTCAAGCTTCTTAGGAAAGAACTCTAGGAACTACTTGTACATGTCTTTGTTTTAATTACATAGCATGAAAGAGAACAGGAAGAGTAATTTAACACCAGCCTCAGTTGACAGAGGTACTCAGACTACTCATTGCAAGATCTTCCTGTTAGTTACGAAGTTTGTCCGGTAACCTTGGGCCTAGACCTGTGCCGCAGACCTCTGGGGTTGGAAAGCTTTAGGCAATACTAGTTTTCTCTTCTGAGTCTCTTACCATTTTTACTTCCCCATTCTTTGTTCCTCTTTCTCTCAAGGATCAATGAGGTGAGAAATTGAGATGAGTTAATACAGATAAAAAGGTAGTATAATAGTAAGTATAAGTAGACAAGCATATAGATGAACGTGTTACTGTACATCTATTAAAAATTATGCAAGTTGGTGATGTACTCAGGGTCAACTAAATTACTTTCGGATGTTGGATTTACTTTGTTCCTTGGCTAGAAAAAAAATTCTTACAAGAATTTGTATTTTTTGAAGCCAAACTTTCTCTGTTTTAAAAGGTGTTGAGTTATGCATAAATTATTAAGAAAGGTGAATTTTTACTCCCAGAATATGCTGTTCATTTTCAAGGTACTATGCAGGATGATATATTGGGTAAAACCAATTTTGTAAGTATGTAAATATGTCATAAATAAATAATAGCTCTACTTACTTCCCAGAGGTGTATAGTGATTTTTTAAGTGCTTATGCATATTAATATTATACTAAAATAACTCATATTCCCTTTTATGTCTAAACTGGCAACTGGCTACCAAGAATTCTTAAACAGCAACTTCAAACACCATCTTTCAAGTGGGAACTATAACATTCAAATATACCAGAGCTATTAATTTTAACATCAGAGGACTCAGAATATTTAGGGGAGAAAATAGTAGTAGTACACTGGAGATAGAGTTAATAGGTAAGAAGTTAAGGCCTATGTTCATGAGGAGACCTCTTGGTTGAGGAGACCTCTTGGTTGCTGAATTTAATATACCCCTGATCTCCACAGATGTCTTTTGGATGAAAAAGTTTAGCTATAACCTATGTTTGCTATTCAGAGCCTATAATCCATGAGGAGAGATTTTTGTTTCGATTTGGCCAGGAGGGGGTACTTATAAAAGATAGTGAACTTTGATTTGGGGCTTTTTGTTTGCTTGCTTGCCAAAAAACAATATTGTTAGTGGACTAGAAAAACACCAGTTGAGGGCCCAGGAATGGCCCTGTAAAATTTTATACTTTTTTTCAGAATTAACTAGAAGAGAAAAATTCTGGAAAGACAGAATTGACAAGGCTGATATAAAGGAGATTTTTTAAATTTACAGATGAAGGAAATCTTGTAAATTACCAGAAATTTAAAGCAGTAAGAAAGAGGAACTAATATTTATGTAATAAATACAATAGTTGGGCATTGGAGTAGGTTAGGTAAATAAACAGATTAAGCTACTTATCCAGTATCACCACAACAACTGAATTTCAGAGATAGAGGTCCAATGTTGTGTGACTTAATCTAAACCATTCTCTTCCAAAACATCTGAAGTATTTACTTTAGGAAGTTATGGGTGCATGATTAATCTTACAAATGCCTGTTGAATTCAACTTCATTCACATAATAGCATGAAGACTTTGTTCTAGTATACTTCAATTTTGCAATATTATGTTCAAGGAAAACTTTTTACTCCCTATTTTTTTTTATGTTTTTGAAAGTGCTCTTTGGGCTTTGCTGCTAATATGAGAATATATTTGTGATACTTGCTCCCAAATTTGAAAAACCACAAACTAAGTTTACCTTTGAAAATCATTTTTAGGATTAAAACCAGAAATGTTCTAATTATTAAACTAGTCTTCAAGCAAGGTACTGACCACATACCTTTTAAAATATTTTGAGGCTGCTCTAGGAACCACACTTTGGGAACCATTGCTATAATATGATCCCTGACTCATTCTGCATGTCATAAGATATTTTAGAGAGAATGATGTCACCAGGATGGTGATATAAGTTGTCCCTGACTTTTTTCCCCCTCACAAGAAGAGCTAACAACTATTCAATTACAAGATACCATTGAGAGAATCCTAGAACATGGGGGTGAGGCTGAAGCACCTTCCTGCACCAGAGACCAAGGCAGACTGAATTACAAGGGTAAGAAGAAGGGCTATATGTTGACCGCATTCCCCCGCCCCCAGGCCAGCAGAGCACTGTGCCAAAAAGTACAACCTGGGCCTACAGTTTCCTTCTGTGGGACATCCAGCGCCCTCAGTATTGTGGGTCACTTAGGAGCCCGTATTTCAGTCTTGCTTCATGGAGATGACAAAGAAACCTGCAGAGCTTAACCACTGGGAATGTGACGGAAGTGTCTTGCGACAACAAGCTTTCGGATCTTGGCATGCCGAGTTTCTACTTAAAGCACCCAGATAGTAATCCAAACCAGTTGCTTTGCTCATCTTCAAAACCAAGTTGGTGGCACAGTCTGACCAGGGAACTTGGCAGGGTTTGGGTATGCCTAAATTGGATCCCCAAATGAATAGCCTAACCAGCTCAGAGCCTAGTATGCTCCATTCCAGGCAGGGGAGCAGAGTCATACTCCAGCCACTGCTAAGTGTAGCTCCTGGCTCCATCTAAACAGAAGAGCAGGCAAGAGTACCTGGAAGCTGTGTAGTTGGCAATACTCAAACAGAGAACATAAAATGCACAAATGATTATGCACAGAACAAAGCCAGTGCTGGGTGTAGAGAGTAATTCCCTTCCTCTGCGGCAGGGGAGCTAATTCATAGCCTGACCCACTTCCCACCAGGAAGCCTGTGTTATTCTCAGCCCCTTCCCACCAGAAAGTCTGATTGGGAAAACCTGGGAGGCCCCTTGAAGCTGGCCCATCCTTCAGGGGAGCTGCCCCACCCACCAAGGAGTGAATCCCTGCCCAACCAGAAAGCCTGGCTGGACACCTAGAAAGGTAAGTAGCCCATCAACATCTGAGCAGAGTTCAGCAGGCAAAGCTTACAGTCTGCAGAGCAAAGCCAGGAGCCCTGATTGGTCAGGGAACTTGAGGTAGGGTCAGCTTGAGCTCATACCATAAAGAGCCTTACCAGCTTTGGAGTTGGCTCTCTCACTGGACAAGGAAACGAATTTGTAACTGCTCATTGCTGAATACTGCCTTCAGCCTTCCTGTCCAGGGAATTTAAGTAGAGCACATGGAAAACTCTGAAGCCCATCCACGAGCCCTACTTACAGTAGAGCTTGAACAGAGAGCAAAGCAAAACTGGTGGCCTCATCTGGCCAGAGAATTTAGTGCACACCCTTGCCTGAATCAAGTCGTTAGCCAACAAGCTGCACATATCTTGGGCCCCATCCTACTGCTTACCAGGGCAG